TCTGGTTACAAGAAGGCTATTCTACCTTTGCATTGCAACAGTATTCCAGAAAGGAATAAAAGAAAAAGCTAAAGCAATTATTCTCATCTGGGAGTGATTTTGCCTCGGGGACATATGGCAATATCAAGATATTTTTGGTTGTCATGACTTTAGGAGGAGGGAGTTGCTACTGGTTAAATACCAGTGTGTAGAAGTCAGATACTTTCAGCCATCCCATGACTAGAATGATCTGGGCCAAAATGTTAACTACTGAGTTTGAGACACCTTGGATTAAAGACAGAAAGCATGTAGCTACTGAGTCTGTATTCTTAATCCGCCCCCCCCAACAGGGTACATGCACTTGTTAGAGACAGAGAGAAGGAAAGTGAGAAATCACCCACCCCAAGGGGTATGGCCATGCCACAGTCCCCTCTTCTTTATTCTCCTCTTGAGATTTTTGGCTTGTAAGCACATGTGCCTGGTGGGATTTTCAAGCCGCCGGATCTGGGACTCGAACTATGTTTACCGTGTGAGAGTCCAGTGCCCTAACTACCATCCTACCTGCTAGCCCCATATCCTCCTTTAAAATGGATTCTTTCAAGTTTAGCAAGGAATTTTAGTTATATATAATTGGCCAAAATCTCATCCCATAGCCAACTCCAGCTATAAAGATAGCTAGACAATGCAGCTGTTTCATGTTTGGTTATCTTGAGCTGAATTGGGGTTCTAATAGTAAGGGAAAAGGGGAGAATGTAAATTGAGTTAACAGTGGACAGGGTTTGCCTCAGAAAAGTTAAGTGCTTTGCCCAAGATCACAGAGCTAGTGAAGATCAGCTCCTGCTCGAGCATCCTCCATTGAGGAAGGATGTCTGGTTGTCAAGTGCAGTTCCTCTGTAGATGTCTGAATGAATAAGGATGGAAATGCATTGCTGGTTATGGAAAACCCCTGAGTTTTTGATCAGCCACAAACAGCCAAGAAAGTGTTTCTTGCAGGATGTAGTATGCAGTCTGTTAAATATACCATTGTTCTCTCAGTATTTGCAGTGGGACTTACTATTTCTTCTTGTTCATGTACCAGATGAAGTAATTGATTTCAGCCCTGTCTTTTTAATACTTTGCCCTTCAACAAGCCATCAAACTATTAGTGCTTCACTTCTCCCATTCTAAAAAAGTTAAATAGTGATGTGATCACTATTTGCCTTGGGATTCATTTAACAAAGTAGGCACTCTTCTAAGTATATCAAGCAGGAAGATATTTAATCCAGGGAATTATGAAATCATGTGAAGATCTGGGAGTAAAAGGCAATGGCTGCCAATGATCTCTGCCATCCACATGCCCACAAGGCATTTTCCCAGGAGAATGTGTGGCAGTAGCTGTCAAAGCACTGTATTTATTGCCCGCAGATGCCCAGGTGCCTGCCTATAGCTACTAAAAAGCAAATAAATGACATCTCTTCGACCTTTTGAATTGCCTGAGTGCTTCTCATTGGCAGTGTAACCTGGAGCCATGGCCCATGGGATTTTGGGAGATGTAGTTTTGAAGCTTTTCAGGGAAGAATGTAGAGTGGGGTGGGGTGGGATGATGTGGAGTTGACAACAGACTTTCACGCAGAAGCATACAGTTGGCATATTTTGGGAAGAAGAGCATTCTGTTCGGATGTTGGCAGTGTTGCTACTAGAATTATCACCTTATTTCTAGCTATGTATCCTTGGGTGATAAGTAGGGTATCTTTGTATCTCTGTTCTGATTCTCTTCAGGTCTTGGTGATACTAAATAAATAATAAAAAAAGGACTCACTGACCTGCATATACAGTACAGAAAGTAATGTATTCTGTGAGGTTCTGTGGTGCAGTGAGGGTCCCAGAGCATGAGGTTTGAAAAACAATGCATAATTCACCAGCATGCTCTGCAAAAACCAGTGTTCAGAAAATAATTGTGGATGAATCAGCTTGTATATTTCTTTCTTTAAACTTTGTGTGTGTGTGTGGGGTACATTATCCAGAACTCTTCATATGTTTATTCATATTACTTGTAGTGAGTTGGTAAAATACAGTGAGAAATTAAATACAGTGAGAGAAATAATAGAACAATTATCTAAGAACAAAGTAATCTATAGACATGTGATGTACTGTTTGTTGTGGAAGGGAGACTTGTAACATCTAGTTATCTGGTATCTGGGTTACATCAGGCTTTTATGGTATGTAAGTCACAGGGTTTTGAAGGTGGAATTTGATCTGTGCTGTATTTAAGTCTCCAAAATAGCAAAACCCATTATGGCTCTGTCCTACAACACTTGCAAAATCCTGAGTCTTGAGTTGCAGTTTTCTGCTGATATTTAATATTTGAATTATCTTAAGGAAGATAAGGAAAGTGCACTATCTTATTCTATTTATTTCTTGAGTGAGGAAAATTGAAAAGGACTAAAGGACAAAACTCGTTACCCAGAGCAGTGTGCAAACATCACTGGTTTTGCTTTCCTGCTTTGCTGGAATGAAACCAACGTGTTTGAGGTTGCCTGAACCTTCCATTGGGTCATCTGGTGGCAGATTTGGAGATGAGGACTTGTGTGCAAGTGATTCATTAGACAAATTCTCCCAAGAGAAACCAACGAGGGAATGGGAGAAGTAAGACAGAGAGAGGAAAGAAGCAGGCAAGGTTGCAATTTCAGGGGATATTTCAGAACTAGTCTGACCCTGTGGGGATTTCTGGATGTGCAAAGTATACCTCAAGATTTTGCTCTGAATTGAGGCAAAGGCTCTGGGCTTGCATACTCCTGTGACAGCCAGTAACTGGCTAAGGGTTAGGTGGAAATGGAGATACTGTGGACGGAAGGCAAATAAACTTCCAGGAACTGGCTGTTTTTGAGTGCAGGCAAGGAGCTCTAGTAACCCTAGGGCAGATCTTCACAGTCTCAGGTGCTGGCCATGAAAACAGAAAAGAACATAGGTAATGGCGAGGGATGTACAGAAGTGATAAAAAGGATCCCAGGGGATCTGGCCAGAGTCCTGACAGTGTACATGTGTGCTGTTCTTTTGGCCTTATGATACCTGGAATCTGAGAAAGGAGCAGAGATTTTCACATGGAACTGTAAAGTTTCTGTAGATCAAAGATTGGCAAACTTTTCCTTTTAAGGACCAGGTAAAATATTTAGGCCTTATGGTTCACAGGATTTCTATCCCAACTACTGGACTGCACAGTTGTAGAACAAAAGCAGCTATATATAATAGATAAATGAATGGATGTGGCTGTTTTCCAAAACTACTTTATTTCTTTTTTTAAA